CATGTATAAAAGGGAATGACATTTACTCTAATTGTGTCACAAGAACTAGTAGAACATGTATAAAAAGGAATGACATTTACTCTAATTGTGTCACAAGAACTAGTAGCGACATGTATAAAAAGTAGGAACAAGTTTGCTCCAATTGTGTCATAATAATTAACAGCGACATGAATAAAAAGGAATGACATTTACTCTAATTGTGTCACAAGAACTAGTAGCACATGTATAAAAAGTAGGAACAAGTTTGCTCCAATTGTGTCATAATAATTAACAGCGACATGAATAAAAAGGAATGACATTTACTCTAATTGTATCACAAGAACTAGTAGCAACATGTATAAAAAGTAGGGACAAGTTCGCTCCAATTGTGTCATAATAATTAACAGCGACATGAATAAAAAGGAATGACATTTACTCTAATTGTGTCACAAGAACTAGTAGCAAAATTTATAAAAATGAAGAGCTAAGTCTGCCCAGTTGTATTACAGAAATTAGTAGCAACACGAATAAAAAGAAGAGGGCCAAGTTTGTATTTTGTTCAATTTGACTATTTAATATTACGTATATTCATAACTTTGTTTGTTTTTTGGACGTATCAAATCTTTATATGGCTGGTCCATGTATTCTAATTTTGATGCTTTCCACGTGTAAATTGTTTTGGTGACATATTTTTCTTTTAAATGTGTTTTTTTAATGAAACTTGTTTAAGAAGATTATAATAAACATGCTGATGTAGGATATATGAGACTAATGTGAGATCTGGAATATTACACTGTACAATGCTAATGTGTGGTATAGCAGACAATAGTCGACATTCTAATGTAGGATATATAACACTATAATAAAGATACTAATGTATGATATATGAGACTATAGTGGAAAGCTAATGTGCGTTATATAAGACTCTAGAAGACATGTCAATGTGGGATGTAGACGAATATAGTGAAGATGCACATATATGACATAAAAGACTATAGTGGACACGCTGATATGAGATACAGAAATCTATATTGATCATGCTAATGTGGGATATAGAAGACTACAGGAAACATACTAATATGGGATATGTAAGACTATAGCGGACTTGCGTAATTCAGTGAGATATAGACATATTTTCCCTAATTGAATCACTCGTCTGTCCAGGTGAATTTTGTGTAAAGCAAACTCCTTAACCCCCAGGTCAGCATGAAGAGCAGCTTCAGACTCATGTGAAGCATGAAACTTAGAGTGAAACACAATATAAAACGTCGTGATGAGCGATTAAACGTTTTATTCATTTGTCACCCATGCAATGGTAACTGAATAATTGTTTTTATATATTTAGACTGATTCCGTGATCGTGAAGGTTTATTCTAATCGTTAAGAAAGATTTCTCGAGTTACGTATAGTTTCGGTTTCATTTGTTTGAAAGTGTACACGAAATATTCATGACTTGTAGTCATCTTACACCAACTAACGAGATTGTAATGCTGATACAACTTATTTCTAGAGTCAAAAACTTCGTCCCAATGTGACGTCCAATTCATAACTTTCATATATTTTTCAATAACACCAATTTTACCCTATACTTTGGTCGACCTTTCCTGTATGTTTAAGTTGTATCAAAAGGAACTACTCACACTAAAAAGCGTTTCAAGAATTTTTGATGTAAACTTTCAATTTTCATTTATATATTTATTTTACTATTAACAGCACTTAATTTATAAACGACAATATATATATACCGTTTCTTTCAAATGTTTTCAGGGATTGCACCACTTTTGACAACAACTTCTTCCTTTAAGCTGCCATTCTGCAACACTGTTAATAACAACTCCTTCCTTTAAACTACCATTCTATACCAATGTTAATATCAACTCCTTCCTTTAAACTAATATTCTACACCAATGTTAACAACAACTCCTTTCCTTAAACTACCATTCTACACCAACGTTAATAACAACTCCTTCCTTTAAACTACCATTCTACACCAATGTTAACAACAACTCCTTTCCTTAAACTACCATTCTATACCAATGTTCACAACAACTCCTTTCCTTAAACTACCATTCTACACCAATGTTAACAACAACTCCTTTCCTTAAACTACCATTCTTGATAACAACTCCTTTCCTTAAACTACCATTCTATACCAATGTTAATATCAACTCTTTCCTTTAAACTACCATTCTACACCAATGTTAACAACAACTCCTTTCCTTAAACTACCATTCTACACCAATGTTAATAACAACTCCTTTCCTTAAACTACCATTCTACACCAACGTTAATAACAACTCCTTCCTTTAAACTACCATTCTATACCAATGTTAATATCAACTCCTTCCTTTAAACTACCATTCTACACCAACGTTGATAACAACTCCTTTCCTTAAACTACCATTCTACACCAATGTTAATAACAACTCCTTCCTTTAAACTACCATTCTACACCAATGTTAATAACAACTCCTTCCTTTAAACTACCATTCTACACCAATGTTAACAACAACTCCTTTCCTTAAACTACCATTCTACACCAACGTTAGTAACACCATCTTCCATAAGACTTGTGATATATTTGTTGTTGATTTATTTCAAGTTATTGTTAAGATTATTTTAACCATTTCTGTTCTGTTTAGTTAATACATGAAAGCAGTATGGGAACAGACAAACAGTGCAACCATCACTCAAACTGTGTGTCTACCATAGAATCCAACCAGTTGTCTTCCGAGTGTTCCAATCGAATGACAGTGGCTATGTCTTCAAAGCAACCGGAGAACAAGAGTGTTGACGGTTATGATAACAATGGCATTGCAATCCGAGTTGATCCAATTGACGACAATATCTTAACCATCACAAGTGCCCAGAGTTTTTTTTCAACAGGCACTCCTGGTATCTGTAGAAGACAGGTCACTCTTCGAGATCGACAACAAGATCTTCTGCAGGCCGACAGTGTTTCTTGTTCTCACTTAATGGATGCAACGATGGACATTAGTTCATCGAGGAAAATGGAAATTTCACACACGAAGTACGTCATTATCCTGAACGTTTTAGTAAAGTCACGGTTCAATGTTTAACTCAAAATTATTCACACCTCTATATGACAATCCCCAAAAACATTCACACCTTTATATGACAAGCCCCCATAAACTTTAATAGCTTTTTATGACACGCCCCCAAACATTTTAATAGCTTTTTATGACAAGCACCCAAAAACTTTAATAGCTTTTTTATGACACGCCCCCAAAAACTTTAATAGCTTTTTATGACACGCCACCAAATATTTTAATAGCTTTTGTATGACAAGCCCCCAAAAACTTTAACAGATTTTTTATGGCACGCCCTCAAACACTTTAATAGCTTTTTATGACACGCCACCAAATATTTTAATAGCTTTTGTATGACAAGCCCCCAAAAACTTTAACAGCTTTTTTATGACAAGCATACAAAAACTTTAATAGTTCTTTTATGAGAAGCCCTGAGAAGTAACCATCATATCTTTATATGACAAGTGCTAAGAACGTAACCTTCATATCTTTATATGACAAGTCTGGAAAACTTCACATCTATATTACGTACATGTTGATTACTGGCCAATGAAAATTGAACACTTCACACTCAAAACAGTAACTTAATCTTTCATATCGTGTCTGTGGTTCCTGTTTTTTTAAAACATGTTATCTTGACCCTTCATGTTGTGGTTTACTAAAACATGTTATTTAACCCTTCATGTTGTGGTTTACTAAAACATGTTATTTTAACCCTTCATGTTGTGGTTTATTAAAACATGTTATTTTAACCTTTTATGTTGTGGTATATTAAAACATGTTATATTAACCCTTCATGTTGTGGTAAATTAAAACATGTTATATTAACCCTTCATGTTGTGGTTTACTAAAACATGTTATTTTAACCCTTCATGTTGTGGTTTATTAAAACATGTTATTTTAACCTTTTATGTTGTGGTATATTAAAACATGTTATATTAACCCTTCATGTTGTGGTATATTAAGACATGTTATATTAACCCTTCATGTTGTGGTATATTAAGACATGTTATATTAACCCTTCATGTTGTGGTTTACTAAAACATGTTATTTTAACCCTTCATGTTGTGGTTTATTAAAACATGTTATTTTAACCTTTTATGTTGTGGTATATTAAAACATGTTATATTAACCCTTCATGTTGTGGTAAATTAAAACATGTTATATTAACCCTTCATGTTGTGGTTTACTAAAACATGTTATTTTAACCCTTCATGTTGTGGTTTATTAAAACATGTTATTTTAACCTTTTATGTTGTGGTATATTAAAACATGTTATTTTAACCCTTCATGTTGTGGTTTATTAAAACATGTTATTTTAACCTTTTATGTTGTGGTATATTAAAACATGTTATATTAACCCTTCATGTTGTAGTTTCCAGTTCTTAAGACAAGTGATAGTTGGAGCCTCGCGCTTTTACAGTCACCGTTATTGAGCAAGAAATAATATTTGGAATTAAAATGTGTTCATTATTTTTGTCTCACACAAAAGTACAGTGCTTGTTTGTTTGGTTTGAATATCACGCAAAGCTACACGAGGGCTATCTGCGCTAGCCGTCCCTAATTTAGCAGTGTAAGACTAGA